ATTATTTCTAAGTACCCCTAAGTGTTGGGGTTCAAGATTCGCAGCGTTTTTACAAGCACCCCTAACTTGTAAGCTACTTGGCCCCTCAGCATGTAAGAAACCCTCTACTTGGTAAACGATACCCCAAATCCTATGTACACTTGACTCGAACTCAAACAGGGACCCTTAAACTTTTTGAAAACCCCTAAACTAAACCCTAAACCCTAAACCCTAAACCCCTACACCCTAACCTCTAAACCCTGAACCGTCCCAAAACGGGTCCGAGTGTCTCGATCCAGGCGTCATCCGCTTCGCAGGCGGCTCTGTCGATGTACCCGTACTCGGTTCTCCTGAAGGTCTCTAGCATCCTATTCTTACAAAAATTAGGGTTTAGGGTTTAGGGTTTAGGGTTATTCTTTAAAAACCCTCAACCCATAAGGCTCTCATAGGGCTATACTTTAAGGTTCAAGGGGTTGCTACAGGATTTCAGGTACAGCCTTCGGTTCAGCCCCCCTACAGACTCTACAAACCTAATGATTCATGCCCAAATCTCTACATCCATGTATAGTCTACCGAATCTGGACACTTCCGGAAGTGCTGAACTTCAACCCTTTGCCCTCATCAGCACCCCCCCAACTAATTAAACGGCCTTTTCAAACCCTTTCCGCGAATCACCAATCTCATGATCCTAAACAGAGTTCCCCTAAACCCTAAACTTTAAACCCTAAACCCTAAACCCTAAAACCCCACACCCCTCAATGTCTCCTGTAGGTCCGATTTGGTCCAAGTTCAGAGACCGCGCGGTGCCAGAGCCTTGAGCAAACTTAAAGCTTTGGGGAGTTTAAGGGTGTCGGGGTCAGGGGCTTACGGTTTTAGGGTTTAGGGGTCATGGGGGCTTACGGTTTTAGGGTTTAGGGGTTTAGGGGTTTAGGTTTAGGGGTTTTAGGGGCTTACGGTTTTAGGGTTTAGGGGTCATGGGCTTACGGTTTTAGGGTTTAGGGGTTAGGGGGTTTAGGGTTTAGGGTTTATCAGGGGCTGATGAAGTCGCCCC